ACTCTGACCTCTTTCATTAATAGATGAAGAAGTAAATCAAAAGAAGATTCAATTAATTAACAATATCATATGTATTTGAAATGCATCGTGATCGACAAATAATACTGCCATTTGATAGGCAAATAAGAATTCGCAATATTCCTTTTTAATAGATTTTGGGAAAGAGCTTGTTGTAAACAAGAGTTTACATGGTTGTTACAAAGTATTCTATCCAAACATAGTTTAGAGATCTTATCTTCCCCCACTCCCACTGGTAACAGCGTCTATCCAAATCTAAATCACATCTTTATATAAACTAATTTACAAATAATACACTGCCTATTATTTTTGAGAACTGCGAATATATTATAACCGTAAAAGCATTCTTATTAAGTACCAAAGTTGGGCAAAAGTATCCAAATTATGCAAAGATGAATACATTAGCATTTTAAAATTATAATGCACAATATTAGGATAGGTTTAGATTTGAGTAGATTTGAATTTGAATAATTTTGTTCTTATATGTATATATGTAACTCTAGCTGTCATTCTTATCTCATGTAATTTTAGCATTTAATATTAGGGAAATATTTTTCTCATTTCGTTGGAGATAGCTATCTCATGCTATACACCCATCGAATTTTGTGCCAGCTTTTTCCATTTCTTTTTCCTTTATTTTAAAGTGTGGAGCCCACATATTTATCTCTCACACATGAGAGAACTATCTCAAGCAACATGAGATTAATAACTCCCTTAATATTATGCCTTATGTGTCATTCTTATCTCATGTAATTCTCATCTTTCGTCACTGATGTCTATATATGGACATGATCATGATAATGCAAATAAGCTTTTGATGCTTGCAATTTATTATGCTATCAAAGCGCCTAAATACAAAAGACCGCTTCCGGATAAATTAACACACGTAATGGAGGGCAATGTTGTAAAAAGCCTCAATTAATTTTCATGTAATCATAACATTTAATGTATACCTTAGGTGTTATTCTTATCTTATGTAATTTTCATCTCTTGTAACCAACGTCTATATATGGACGTGCTTACGATAATACAAATGAGTTTTTGATGCTTCCAATTTATTACATAATTCGACGTCTTGGCCACTATTATTGAATTTTCTTATTATGAACTTGTATTATTGAATATTGACCTATCATTGTACTAACATTAATTGTGCTTTTTTTTCTATTGCTTGTGAGCCTTACACGCTCTATCACCGATCATAGGCTACAGCTTCATTGAAAATTTTGGTGAATACTCTTCATTGAAAATTTTCATTTGATTGAAAGAATCCTCATGCTATTTAAGAGTGAAAGAAAGCAGATAAAAAATAAAACCAAAAAAATATTGATGGCTCCATTGTATTCTTGTAAGATATGAACCTTAAAGCAGAGGACATAAATTTATGTTTACACAAGGTTTTGAAAACTTCATGTTTTCTCTGAGTTTTAAACAAATAAATCATGGATGTTTGATTATTAGAGTTCATAGAGTTCATGTTTGAATCATGATGTGATTGAATTGAAACAATGTAATTTTTTTTTTATATCAATCATAATTACTTCTTTGAAGTGAGTAGGCTGCCCCGGTATCTCACAAAAAATGTAACTTGATAAAACATGAAAATATTATGTTCTTTAGAGTTGTTCAATGGATTCATATGATTTCAAATGGTATCATGATTTTGTGGAAAATCAAATATTTGACTACGCTTCTTGAGAGTTTATGAGTCCGAAACTCATAAGCAGGCAAAAAAATTTAAATATTGCTTTTTTAATAAATAATTATGTAATGTAGTCGTTTTGAAATCATTTACGCAAGTGTAGAGTCAAACAAGCCCACATGGGGCGTGACGTGACCCAGTGGAGAGAGACACGTCCATGTGGGGCGTGACTCGTGAGTCATGAGAGAGAGACGCGCAAGAGGGGCGTGTTCCACTTTGTCTATATAAAGGCTATTTTTTTCATTTTACCCCTCACACCTTCTCTCTAAAAATCACTTCCAACTTCTCTCTACATTTCTTCTGCAGTATTTTGCACAACGAAGCTCTGTCTCTCATGTAAGTCCCAATTTATGTTTTCTATTTTTATTTACAGCAATAAATATATGATAGTTAGTGACTTGGATAATTGTTAGTACCGTAGAAAATTATTAGTGACCTAGGTTAGAGAATGGTTAATGACTTTGGAATTAGTTAGGGACTTAGAAATTGGTATATGCTGGTAATAGGAATTAGTCAGCGACTTATAAATTAGTTAGAGACACAACATATAATTATATAGGAATGACATATATGAACATATTGACCTTTCAAATAACTAATACATTGTAATTAAAGTTTGTATAAAACTATTAGAGTAGGCAATATTAATTTTATTTTATTTTATGTATTTAAATATAATGTAATGTTATTTAATTTAGTTTTATTTTGTGAATAGTGTATAGAGGAGAGGAGTATAAATATGGTGTAGTTGGGTCACTCATGCCCTCATTGGGCATGTCTCTCTCCTGGAACAAACTCCTGTTGAGCGTGTCTTTCTCCTGGAACACACTCCTGTTGGGCGTGTCTCTCTCCTCCAGGTCACGCCCCATGTGGGCGTGCCTCCCTCATGACTCACGCCCCACATGGACGTATCTCTTTCCACTGGATCACGTCCCATGTGAACGTGTTTGACTGCTATACCTGTGTAAATAGTTTCAAAACGACAATATTTGCATAATTATTTATTAAAAAACAATATTTAAATTTTTTTGCCCTCATAATCACGCTTGCAATTTTGGTGTGAACGCGCCTAGGCAGGTGTAATAACCCCCCTCCCCCCCAAATACTAATAGTAAAAATATTATTATTATTATTATTATTATTATTATTATGTTAGGCATTTTTTTTTTTGGTGTGGATGTGTTAGGCATGTTAATTTGGCGGTGTAGTAGGAATAAGCATTAATATATTTATATACATGTTAGCGTTGATTGTCATTAATTTTATGGTTACTAGTATGTCATTATTTGAATTTAGAATTGTAATGTTAACTTGTAATTGGTGTTAATTATATTAATTTGTAACGTTCAAATTATAAATAAGCAATAATTAATTACCATTATTATATTATTATTATTATTATTATTATGATGTTAGGCATGTTAATATTTATTAGAGTTATTATTATTGGTAGTAACTATATCGTATAATATAGTATTTATTATATTTTTACCTTTATTAGAGTTATTTTTATCTTCTTAGTATTACTGGAATAAAAGATGGATATCTTAATTTATACATATTTATAATATAATTTCATGTTAAATTTTAATTATACATTTTTTTATTTTAATTATGAATTTAAAAATATATATAATTTCATCCACATCACAATTTTTTTACATATTTATAATATAATTTTTACATATTTAATTTATAATAAATTTTCACCCACACATCACAAAAGATGGATATCTTAATGTATACATATTTATAATATAATTTTATGTTAAATTTTAATTATATATTTTTAAATTTTAATTATGAATTCAAAATATACATAATTTCACCCACATCACAATTTTTTTGGATCACCACTGCTTAGTTAGTTGAATCCTAAACCATCGTCATCTTGTAACCAAGTTCTTTTATTATTTTCAAAAGTTTTTGACAGAATTTCTTTTATGTGAAAAATCTGTGACGGAATTCAAAATTTCGTCGAAACGTCCAAAAAATATAATTTTTTTTCTTTTATTATTTTCAAAAGTTTTCGACGGAATTACTTTTTCGTCAAAAATCTTCGACGAAATTTTGATTCCGACAAAACATCCAAAAAATATAATTTTTTTTTCTTTTATTTTTTTCAAAAGTTTTCGACGGAATTTCTTTTGCGTGAAAATTATTCGACGGAATTCAAAATTCCGTTGAAACGTCCAAAAAATATAATTTCTTTTTCTTTTATTTTTTTCAAAAAAATTTGACGAAATTCTTTTTTAGTGGAAAATCTTCGACGTAATTCAAAATTCTGCCGAAAAGTCCAAAAAATATAATTTCTTTTATTATTTTCAAAAGTTTTTGACAGAATTTCTTTTTCGTCGAAAATCTTCGACGAAATCAAAATTCCGTTGAAACGTCCAAAAACATAATTTCTTTTTCTTTTATTATTTTCAAAAGTTTTCGATGGAATTCTTTTTCCGTCGAAAATCTTCGCGGGAAATCAAAATTCCGTCGAAACGTCCAAAAAATATAATTTCTTTTTCTTTTATTTTTTTCAAAAGTTTTTGACGGAATTCCTTTTTAGTGGAAAATCTTCGACGGAATTGAAAATTTCGTCGAACATTTTCGATGGAATCCATTTTCTGTCAAAATTTTTGGACGGAATTTATTTTTCGTCGAAATTTTGGACGTAAAACAGATTCCGTGAATAATTTCAACGAAATTTTTTCCGTCGATAATAAATACATTTCTAGTAGTGCTGTCACACTAATTCAGACGCATTAACTGTTAATATATGCATCATACACAAAGTCATTAATTTTCAAGTATGCAAACTTAAACACGTCTAAATCTAATTAAATTGATGAGATTCATATATAAATTAAATGATTCACTCATTCAAAACCACTACATTGATCATAAAGCAATTGCTGGGAGTATATATCCCTTTCCCTTATTCCAACGTGTTTCTCTTTCTAATTACTGTTTTTTTTTTCTTGTAATTTTTGCCTAATTGATTCTTAGTGGTGCGGGTTTTGCTTCAACCTAGAATTGATTCTCCAGCTAATATGGTAGGCGGCTTTGCCATAGTGTGCTTGTATTTTTTGAACTCGAGTGAAGTGATTGTATAAATAATGATAGTTAATTTTTTTAACAAAGAGAAGAAAATTATTGCTTTCTTTTAATTAGACCAATAGAATACTACTGTTGAAGCAAACAGTTGAGGATTGCCAAGAAAAGGTTGTAAAGGTTGATGTTTTAGAGAGAAAAAAAGAAAAAAAAGAAAAAGGAGATGTCAAAGACGATGCAAGGCCAAGAAGTAGTAGTAAGGGGTCCAAAGTGCCAAGACTGTGGGAACCAAGCCAAGAAGGATTGTTCATACTTTAGGTGCAGAACTTGCTGCAAGAACAAAGGGTTTCAGTGCCAAACACATATCAAGAGCACTTGGATGCCTGTGGATAGGAGGCGACAGAGTGAGGAACAGCCATGTCCCACTACTAATCCACCTGACTTTCAGCCCAACCAGAACCCATATTCAGGTTACTATTTTTACATATAGCCATAATTAAGATCCATATATATACACTGTAGAGCCCTAGCTACCTGTTGCTTTTTCTTTCCTCAATTTTGCAGTTATCATATATTCTCTGTGTGACAAATATCATACTCGTAATTAAAGCAGATGATACTACTTAAGCTTAATCATTTGCATCTCCTCAAACTGTATTCTGCTTGCAAAAATTCTGCTCTTTTTTACCGTTTTTATTTTTTCGTTATCTCGTTAACACTAGCTGGCTATATATTTGGGTTTCGATTTTCTTATACGGTAGGAGAAAATTCTCTCATGCTATAGACACATCTTGTGTGGGCTCACATCTGTTTAAAGAATAAAAAAGTAAAAGAAAATATTGCACGAAAATCGAAAGGTCACTAGTAGTATAAAACAACTCTCCTACGACATGAGAAAATGTTTTCTCTATATATTTATATATATAAAAGAAGAAGTTATATTTATGGTTTCCTTTTTTTTTTTTTTACAACCATTTTCACAATTGTTGGATCAAACTCGAATCAACTGCTCTTACTTAATGTAATTTTGTAACTAATGATTTAATTTTGATCCAAGAAGTATAAAAATGATTATAAGAGGTTATATGGGAAAATAGTATAACCTCCCTCCCTAGCTCGTGTGTTTATATATATATATCTAGCTATATATAACGTATTTTTGTTTATATCAGGTTTAGAGCAGTTCAAATTTCCAGCTACTGTGAACTCGACGGCGATATTTCGGTGCATTCAAGTTCATTCTATGGATGATGCGATTAATGAAGTCGCGTATCAAACATCTGTCAACATTGGAGGACATGTATTTACTGGTCTTCTTTTTAATCAAGGCCCTGATCGAAGCTTCTATGCTAGGGGTGACAGTTCCACAGGCCTTGTTGATCAGCAACAGAATCTCAATCATATCGATGCTCCTTCAGTCCACACTAATGATGGTGCAACTATGGCTCCACTATCTGCCTCTGCTACTCATGATGACCCTTTTTTATCTCCACCACTGTATCCGTTTCCCCTTCCTCCCTTAAGGCCGGGTATGCCATATTTCTCAATACCAAGACCTTAGTTTAACATGAGAAGGCATTTAGATATGGAAATTAAGAATACAATGGAATATCGGTATATTGATTATGAAATACTAACTAATTTATTCAGCTAGCTAGCACCTTCTCGAAGCATTTTATTAATACTTAAGTAAACACAATTATACCCGAGATTTCAATGTATGGGAGACAAGTTCATTAAACAAATGTTACTGATGGAGATTGTTCTTTTGTGGTTGAAATACCGATGACTCAATTTGTTCCCTATATATATTATTTTGGTATTTTAGCATGTGGCCTGTGCCTACAAATAGGTTTTGCAGTTTGTCGTCTTATTGTTTTGTTGTGATTCACTTTTTAGATTTTTTTGTGTGGATGATAATCTTTCCGGAACATCGATCGAGTCCCTTTTGTCACCATTATTCTATAGTATTTGCCAGCATGAAACATAGTTGGGACAAGTTTCCATGTTTCCAAGACGATTAATTATTTTTAACTGTACTACATATGCAATTCGTTTCGTTTATATATGTGTCGTGTCCATTGGCTGCATCAAACCCAAAGTTCCGAGATAATAACCAGCAGACATGATTAACATAACCAAAAGAGATATATATCATGTTGTTTGGCAGGCTGAGTATTATCTTTTTCGAAGCTTGGTAGGCGCTTTTGTTTCTTTCAATGGCGCGCGGACACCTATCAGGAAATTGGGTTTGCCATCAACATGTCAAGAGGCTGAGTATTTTAGAGTTATCAAATGCATTTCTCACTCTTTATTATATATATAGGACAGGATAATATTCTTACACCGGTATATATATATATATATATCAATAACTAATAATTATTTTGATTATTGATTTGTTTACATCTAATAGCTCAGTTCAAATATTTAATAAATAAGAACAATTAAACATAAATAGAATCAACGAATAAAATTGAGAGTGTAACTTACAGCGGTATAAAATGATTCTGATATATATATATATATATATATATATATATATAGGGGCAGGTTATATTTATAAATTTTTTTGTTTACAAACTACACTATGTAGGACCGGTCCTACATTAATCACACAGTGTACGACCGGTCCTACATTAGTGTAATTGCAAAAAAAGTTTGTAAACGGATCATGTCTCATATATATATACAGAATAATATTTTTGCAGTTACTGTAGATAAGTTATCTCAATTCTCTCAAAATGACTTCGTTTTAAGATTGAAAAATTAAATAATTATAATTATAAAGACTTTAATAACCCTGAAATAAATTAAAATTACAAAAATACCATGATTTCTGTCCCAAAACGACTTCGTATTAGGCTTACTGCAGATAAGTTATCTACAGTAACTGCAGAAAAAGCGAATATATATATATATAACGAGTATCATGTAACACGATTTAATTTTTTTTTACCTGCTCACCCATTTGTTTCCACACCAGCCTTTTTTATTTTTTGTTTTTATTACATGTATGGGACCCACATGTATTTTTGTTTCAGTAGAAAAATTGTTTTGATTCCTGTTACGTGATGCTAGCTTTATATATATATATATATATATATATATATATATATATATATATATATATATATATATTTAATTTTCTCATGTTGTATGAGAATTGAATTCTCATGCTGTGACTCAATTAATGGTGAGCCCTACATTTATTAAAAAGAAAAAAAAATTTACATGCAAATCGAAAAATTACGATATGAAAATTTAATTCTCATTCAAAAAATATTTATATATATATATATATATATATATATATATATATATATAAGTTTAGGTAGACGATGGTGCCCTTGAATTCAAGCAAGCTTTTCATTTAGAACACATTTTTTATTCCATATAAATAGTGCTCGCCTCGCGACAAAAACTTCTAAAAGTCGTTAGTGTCAATTTTTGGCAAAAAAAAAAAAATTAAAATAATACACTTTTAATAATTAATTACGAATTGGTAGCAGTTTGAAAATTATTTTCGAATTTATTGCAGTTATTCACGTCCAAATTAGGTGTGACTATTCACGTCCAAAGCACTCACGCCTAAATTAGGCGTGACTCATCTGGTGTTGACACGTGGCACAAAAAATTAATAGTTTAACCGTAAAACTTTATAAGGCCATAACTTTTGACTCGGGTATTCAAATGAGGTAATTCTTTTTTTGATTCCACATATTTTTCGATATCTACGCAATGACATCTCGTTTGATATATTTTATCTCTCACAAACATAATTCAAATTTACAACAATGATACTGTAAAGATGGCACCAAAGTGGATTAACTCATCTATAAATAAGATGACACCAAATTTCCTATTAAATACAAAACGCAATTAGCTCCAATTAAATACAAAATGCAATCAACTCCTATAACATTAAATTCAAAATTCAAATACCCCCCAGCAAATTTATTTGAATTGGCGACAATCTGTAACCAACTCATAAAATTACAACGCAATCAGCTCCTGTTAAATACAAAACACAATGAACTCCTATTAAATACAAAATGCAATCAACTTATTGGAGGTTATTTGAATTTTGAATTTAATGTTAATAGTACCATTATTGGGCGTGAATGAGTGCAATATATTCGTAATTAGGTTCAAAACGGCAACTTATTCGTAATTATTTATTAAAAAAGCAATATTTTAATTTTTTTGCCTCTACCAAGTGTTTGAAAAAAAATAGTGTACAATGTTATTTATTTAATTATTAAAATATATACAAATTTATATAATATTCTACCAAATGTTTAGAATATTTATTTAATTATTTTCTTTATTAATACAGATTTTTCAAATTGATTTTTGAGTTTAAATCACAAATTAAATCTTTATTTTTTTTCTTATTAATAATTATTTTTATTTTTATTTTTGGTAATACACTATATAATACAATTATTGCAAATTTGAATTGTGTTTGTGAGAGATAAAATATATCAAATGAGATGTCATTGCGTAGATCTCGAAAAGTTATGTGGAATCAAAAAAAGAATTGCCTCATTCGGATACCCGAGTCAAAAGTTATGACTTTCCAAAGTTTTACAGTTCATAAGTTGACTTTTTTTACTACGTGTCAACACCAGATGATTCACGCCTAAATTAGACGTGAATGCCTTGGGAATCATGCCTAATTTGGGCATGAATAGTCACGCCTAATTTGAGCGTGAATAACTGCAATAAATTCAAAAATAATTTTCAAACTGCTACCGATTCGTAATTAATTATTAAAAGTATAATATTTTAATTTTTTTACCGTCAATTTTTTGGTCAAATAGATAGTTGTCACATAAATAAATAAAAAATACGTTGCAATTAGTTCCCTTTACAAAATTTCCTGCTCCCACTATATACACATGAGTATAGTAGAGGAAGCTAAAGGAGTTGTATAACTCAATAACCAAAAAATAAATAAATAAAGGTAACGTGATGCATTTATTATGAATGTTGTACTAAGAGATAATGAAAGTTAAGGCATCTTGTGAATTTAGTAACAAGTTAGCTTTTGCAGTAAAGCATGGGATAATTTATAGAAAGGACGTAATTAAGAATTAACTGATACTCTCAGTGACCCAACATGAGGAATATATCCTTTGTACTTGAAATAAAGGAGCTAGCCATTTTCCAAACTAATTAAGTCTAATACAGCGCATTGCATAGTGCGTAGATAGAATCAATCCAAATAATAAATTTCCAGACTCTGCGTTGATTCTCTTCCACAAATGGCTTGTAGATGACTTTGCTAATTCTGGTCATGATATTGAAATTGAAACCATATTTTCTAGTGATGGATAAACAAGATTCTGAGAGAAGGTTTTTAGCATTTAATATGTAGCTACCCTTTATTAATTTAAATAGGTAAACAAGGATTTTAAGAATTCTCTGGGCAAAGCTTTTTTTATAATTAAGAAAAGTAATGATATTTACACCTTAAAAATCTTACATTAATGATTTTGGGAGAGCCGCACCCTATAATGGATTCAACACTACTTGAATTGGAGTAATCAATGAATTGATGGACATATTCAAAAATCTTACATTATTCTTACACCATTTTTTTTTAGATAATAAAACAAGAAAAATATATATACAATCTCTTTCTACATTTCTTTAACCAAAATGTAAAAATATGTAGAGACGTTGGTGTGTAAATATCATTACTCTATTTTTATTTATCTATAATTCATCCATAGTCGGATGTTATGGGAATTCACATTTTGCAGAATAGGTCATCTGATTCTTGCTAGAATATTATGTTAAAGTAATAGCAATTAAAGTGTAGTTTGGTGCACGTACCCAAAAAAAGTTTAGTTTGATGCTTTACTTAATGTAGTTAGCCGGGACTAGGTGCTGATATAATCATAACAAATATTGTATTATGTAAAAAGTAATATATCTGATCATCGGAAAGAAGCCTAGAACCAAAGTGTCTTTTCAAATAAAGGTGTGTTCTTGACTTTCTTTTTCTCTCCCGAAAATGCTCTACATACGAAAAGGTGACTATTTAAGTTACATTGTGCTCTTGTTGAATTCTTACTCGTAATTACTAGAGTCCGATCTATTCTTTTCTTTCTGCGTGTTTTGGATTGTATCTTCAAATTAAGCATGCACGCGTACGTAGTAAAATACATGACGAATTAATGGCCACAAAATTGACAACGGAGCCAAATGTTGTGCCTCATCCACCCCCACAATGCATTTGGTTTATTACACAATAGTCTAAGACCAATCTTGTTTATTAACATATTGCTTTTTAAACTTGGTTACTATCTCTTACGGTATGGACTAGTCTCCGTATGAAGTTTGAACATTGATAATTTAAGTTTCAAACTTCTATATTTTAAATAAAATTATTATACATAAAACTCAGTTTATCAACTGAATCACACACACAGGGTCAATCGGATGTCAATTCACTTGACATAAGATTTGTAAAGTCGGGGAATCATAACCATACAAAAGTGGATTAATAGTAATAAAATAAGAAAGAGAAATATGATATCTATTTTGGAT